GTAATTTAAAGCTAATTGTTTCTATCTCTTGGCCAAAACAGAATCCCCTGCAATTTATTGATAACGCCTATCTTATGCCCATGCCTTAATCAATTTAGAGACTTTACTTCCCATCAGAATTAGTTTTTCATGCTTGACAAATATTCTCTTATCTCTATTTTCCTTGGGAAAACAATCATGTCCACAAAACTTCCAGCCTTTATAGTCACAAATAAAGTTGAACAATTATGTTGCTTTTTTGGCATAAATGGGAGCAGACAAGACTTATTTTTCTTTCAATTCCCCACCCTCAAAACTCCCCATTGTAGCATTTTGGATTCCGAGTCTGAATGTTCAGCTTAATTGATTGATTCTCGAGAGTAATCTACTCTTGCTTGGAAAAAACAAAAACAAAACAAAACCTGGGAAAACTTCTGAAAGATGGCTATGTGCTTAATAACCATAGTAAGTTCTGGAATAGTAGCAAGTGCCCTGAGTGGAGACTGACTCTCGTCATGGGACAGTGGCATTGACCTTTGGCAACTGTGACAATATTCAGTGACTGAGGCTCGGATTCTCTCTTGCCATGCATCCTGTGTAGCCATTATATCAACACAACTGGATTGTAAGAGTCAGAATGGTAGTGTTTTACCTCCACCATGCACTACTGGTAAACGGCTGCACAAGATCAGGGCAACTGAGAATCAAGGCTGGTTTCTCTAGCCAGCATGCTGTGTGTCACATATGTACTACAGGCACAAGAGCAATGTTTGCAATATATCCTTAACAATTGCTTCTCCTCAGAACAGTCTTTTGGTTATGGCACTGGACTATGACTTGGGAGATCTGGGTTAAATTCCTGGGTCTGCCATAGATTGCATGTATGACCTTTGGCCAGGGCATTTAATATATCTGGTCCTCCACTCCGCAGCTGTAAAAAGGTGATAATAATGGTTTTATCTGTCTGTCTAGATGGTACAGTCTTTGGACAGTCTGTGACTGTGTGTTTTATGCAATCTAGCACAATGGGGCCTCAATCTTTGCTGGAGACTCTAGGTGCTACTGTAATATCAATAATAATAAAATTAATTAACTAGTCAGATGAATTACATAGGTTTCAGTTAGTGAAATTGCTGGGGTTACTAGCTTCCACATCAGGGATCGGATTTATGGGCTGGCTTTAGGAAAAGAATGTGACTGTTTTGAAGCTAATATCTGGTTAGTGCTACTGTATAATGAAGTTAGTGTTATACTTTTCCCCCCTATGTAGATTATTATCAAAATAGGAAAAAATATCAAGTGTTGGAATGGTGTGCATCGTTCAAATGACTTCACTGTACATTATTCAGTGTGTAATAAGTGCATACAGTGAAGTTGGGAGTACTTATGCCAGTGCAGAAGTGACCAAACTCAGCCTTGATGTAAGTATGCGCAAGTCCCATTGACTGCATTTAGAATTTACTCCATTGTTGAATTTTGACCATGTGCTTAAAAATGATGGACTTAACTGAAAGTACAGTTTGGCACATGCAACCTTAATGACCTTAATGTAGGCCTGATCTGGCACCTATTGAAGTCAATGGGAATCTCTCTATTGACTTCGATGGGTGGTTGATCAGGCCCTAAGAGAAGAGTTTGGCCTACCACCATTTATTGCCCCTCTCATATTGCAAGTGTGTAAGATACATTCAGGATTCTCTCTCCCCGTGTGATAGCCAAGTTTTAAATCTATTTTTTAAACTTCTTTTCTTTCAACTAGTAGTTTGTTGGCAGAGTTATGACATGTTTTAAGGGTCAAATTCTAATAAAGACCTGTTAAAATGTCATCCTTTAGTGCAGCAAAGGATGAGGCTGTGACAAAGATAATGATTTTGTTTACTTTTGCTTCTGGACAAATGTTACCCTATGTTATTTCAGTCCCATTGCATGGTGTGAGCCATGCCCTGCATTCGAATGAGCCGGTGGAGCCCCATGTAACGTATAATGTTGTGCTGTGATGCTGTATGTCAGCTGAAAATGGGAAACATCTTTTTTGCTCAACAAAATCAGTAGTTGCTTATGGTGCCGAGAACAAGACTGCTGTTAGAACCACTACCTTTAACACTGATTAACAAACTAAAGAAAATCAAGAGAGAAGGGGCTGATGGTTTATTACTCCACCTCCTTGCAGCAGGACGGTCTATTAAAAACCTCAAACACTGAGTGAAGACCTGGGAACTAGTTTTATATGGGTGACAGCTCAAGGCCCCTGACACCATGATAATGCCCCATAAAATTCCTGATCTTGCTACTTCTGAAGTCCATTGTTATTTGTAGATTGTGGAGAATGGCTTTTCTGCGAAATGATAGCCATCACGCACACTGGTGGAAGGATACTGCAGGATAATAGAGATCCAATAGTAACAGGTCATGCAGAAGGCAACTGCAATGTTATAAGATCGAACAGTAGCTGTTAATGTGGCTTGCAATTTGAAAGACCCTTCATAACTCTATGCTTCATTTTTCTACAGTTGGCTCTAAACTTGAAATTATCTCTGGTTCCATAACGCTCCCTACCTCTCTCCCCTGCCCAGCCAAAATGGTCCCTCAGAGGCTCTCCTTCATTTTTTCCCTGGGAGAGCCTTGCCATCTTGTCAGTTAGATGATTGTCATCTAACTGACCTAGCTTAATCTAAAAGCTAAAGAGTGCACACACACAGCTACAGCACACCATAAGTACACAGAGTTTCAAGGTGCACTGTTGGTCCAAGAGGTTAGTAAGATGGTCTTGTGGTTAATGCTCTGATCGGGAACTCAGGAACTGTGCATTCAGTTCCTGGTTCTGCCACACATTTCCTGAGTGACCATGGTCAAGTCACTTAATCTCGTTGCGTCTCAGTTCCTCATGTGTAAAATGGATTAATAATGCTTCCTGTCTCCCACATGTCAACTCTCTTCTCTATTTAGATTGTAAATTGTTTGAGACAGAGACTGTCTCATACTATGGGCCTGTAATATTGGTTCAGGTCTTTAGGTGTTTATATAACACAAACAAGAAAAACAGCGTGCAAGAATTCTGACATACAGATGCAAACTACTTGCCACTTATTATACAGGAAGTCTATTCACAAAGAAGATTGCAAATAGTAGTTTTCAAGGATGTGCTGGCTGATCTTTCACACAGTAACGTGTCTCAGAAGGAGAAGGGAAAACGTCATACTGAGCAGTGATGGAAGTTGTATATTACATTTCTTTCAAACTTGCAGACAGTGGCTCTATTTATGACAGGCTTCTGGGTGCCTTGTGTTTAGGGATGCTAGAGAAAGAGAAATTTATCTCAAGTATAACATCTATATTACTGCCTCCAAATCTGATTTCATTCTTGAAAGTCTCTAAGGAGTTTTGCACCATTTTAATAAAAATAAAGGGAATATGTTGGAAGAAATATATATGTACATACTGTATACAGAGTGAAGCAGCCATCTTATCGGTAGAAAAGCCAGACAATTTGCAACCCCCTTATATTTGCAGGTAATAAAAAAAGGCATTCAAAGGCATAATTTTAAAAACACTTCACACTCCCTCTCCCAATTACATCACCTTCACACCATTACCAAGAGATTTCAAAATGTTTGCATCTCAACTTGTTTTCTAAGGTACCCTCTGCTTGTGACATTGAAGATTTCACCACACGCATGTGAACCTTCAGTTGAAAAAACAAATAAGTGCAATCACCATGTAATGACTCATCATGCAGAACATCACCCGGACATAAACTGACCCAGGTCGATTCCTTCTGTCAGTCACAGGAGATGGTTAGTTCTAGATCACTCCTTTTCTTGTTCTGGCTTCAAGGTTGGCCGGCACAGTGTCATTTTCAGGGCTGGATTATCACAAAGAATACACCAATAGGCCCTTCAATTTCTCATGCTCACCCCTCTATATATTTAGGGCATGGTTATCAGAGGTGTTGAGCACTCACAACTCCATTCATTTCAACTGGTGCTTTGGATGATCGGCACCCTCAACTTCTGAGTCCCAATGTATCATCTCAGGATCAGCGCTGAAAGGGATGCAAAGCTCCCACTGAGCTACAACCCTTTGGAGTCCCAAAGCTTCTTGATTGGCTCTGCAGCTCTCTCTCCTAAGAAGGTCACCATGGCTGCAGCTGATATTTACATGTTAGCCAGCCAGCAGCTTCCTTTGGAAGCCCAGTGGCCTTCACTCAAGCTCATTCACTAGCTATCCACAATGCCAGTCTTACTGCTTCTCCTTCTATAGCCACCTCTCCTCCTCCATTGTACCATGCTCCTCCTTCATGCCACAACACATCTGTTCCCCACAGCTCACGAAGGTTTCCCCATTTATCACTGATTTCTCTTTCAGCCCCCATCCCTGAATTTACAAACACATGGGACTGAAGAGTAGCATTTTTCCCATTCTTTTTATGCTAACAAACTCAAAACAAGCCAGGATCCCTTAAAATCATGTCCTTCCCCTCGGCCTTGGTCTATTATGGCCTTTTGTAACTTTTCTAGAGTTTACTTACTGTTCTTTGCACTGTAACGTGAATCAGAAAAACACATTTTTGCAGAAGCTAGAAATAAATAGAATTAATTGTGCTCAGCTGCAGGAATAAGAGTCAGTAGCTTTATGCAAAATGCACATGTGAAACATGGATGGGTGACTAGATTTGGGGTTTAAAGAGGGAAGGACCAGCTGCATTGTCTCTGCTCTGGAACTTTCCTCCTCCCCCCTTTGCTCCTGATTGCTTACATACTGCAGTGTCCACTGGCAGAAGTATTTGGAACAGAAGATGACGGAGGGTTAGGGGGACAGTTGAGGGGTTTTGTGATGATGACTGATTTCTGCTGGGGAATTTTTAGTAGGGGAAGACAGTCTGTTTGGACACTGATTATAGTTATTTTGAATGCTAATGTATTATAAAGCCATCTAGAAGATTATGGGGTACTTATCCAAATAAACTGGATATATCTTTCAAACTATTTGTGTGCTGTGTGTAAGGATTTTATCTTTTCCAGAAAGATTTCAAAACCCTGTTGCTGCTCTGCTGTCCAGTAGAGATGTATTGGATCTTCGAGGAACACATTCTCTCTAACAGTCCATGTTTCTGTGTGTATATTCAAACAAGGTAGGTTTCTTGCCATACCTAATTTCTTCCCTTTCTCTCTCCCCATCACACTTTCATTAAGTGACAGTTTGATTTATTATTATTATTTTTGTTAAAGATAGTTTATATAAGTCAATCACTAGATCAAAGGCAGCCGCATCCAGCAATTTACCTTTCAACTTAATCTCAATTCACAAGTGATTTTTCTTATAAAAAAAGGTAAACTTCTTGGAGCAGTAGTCTATTGTTATGGCATATGGACCCATTAGTGTTGTAAATTTATCTCTGTATATGGCATATAAGATGCTTTACCATCCACTAAGATCAGATATAACAAAATATTAACCACCACCGTTGGATCTCTAGTACATCAGAAAATCTTTCCAGTAATGCTTTGAACCAAGTTTTCCCTGGTAAATGGTAGCCACTTTGAACAGTCTAAAATTAAAAATTGTACTGCTTTAAAACGTAAGTGTAGCAGGGTGGTCACGCGCTCCTGGCCTGAAAGGGTTAAAAACAGCCCTGGGAGAGGGCTGAGGCAGGGGAAAAGCTGGGCTGATTTGGGGAAGCAGCCTCAGCTGGGGGCCATGCCCCAAATCAGGGTCCAGCTGGCCCTATAAAGGCCAGTGAAGCAGGAGCTGACACAGTCTCCTCTCTAGCTGTGGAGGGAGATGGGCCTGGCTGCTGGGGAGCTAGATAAGGTACCTGAGCTGGAACAGGGCTGGGGGAAGGCCCAGGGAGCTCTGGTCTGGAACCCACAGGCTGCGGCCTAGTAGAAGGCCAAATAGGTACTGGGATTGTAGGGGACAGCCCAAGGCTAGGTCGAGGCAGCAGGTCCAAAACCCCTCCTTGCTTGTGGTGAGTGGCTTATACTGCAGTCTGCCCCAGGGAGCGGGGGCTAGTAGCCTACGACTGAGGTGAAGTGGGGATAGGGAGTGGGGGTTCCCCAGGGAGGGGAGACCCAGTAAGACTGTGGGGTACTGAAGGGGACAGCACCCCGGCCTGAAAGGGGCACTGGAGTCCAAGTGGGACTCGGGACCCAACGGGAAGCAGGACACTGGCCTGCAAAGGGCACACCTGGGTCGAAGAGCTAATTCCCAGGATGACCGACAGGAGAGGCCGCAGGGGTGAGTCGCTGCCCTGTTACATTAAGCCACATGCTAAATATTAGCATCATCATTTAGTACTATTTTACAAGTCCAGCCCAGTTAAAATCCATAAATTACTTGCCTTACAAGGGTGGCAGTTTGCTTTTACATTGAGCAATTTATACATTTAAAAAAAACCCAGAGATCTTATAGCTAACTCTTGCTCTCTCTTTTTTTTTAATCCTTTGTCGATTCCATTGGACCTGTGCTACAAGGAAGAGAGAAGGCGGCCAGGGAACCCTAAAAGCAAAGCACGGGTCTCCATGAAAAGGGCCCAATGTCTAGGAGATTCCATGGGACTTAGCAGCCACCAAATACTTTGCTTGTTTTACTAGCTAGGGCAAACTCCTCTCCTCCCAATGGAAACTCCTGGGAAAAGGTTTGTGAAGGAAACCTCAAGTTGCAACAATCCTTTGCTGCCTGTTCTACTTTCCTTTGAGAAATTTTAAGGTGGGCTGCTAAAAAGTGAGATAATGAGAGCTCTTTGCCTGGCTACAGCTAGTTCATGTGGTCAGGAAGGTGAGCAAAAATATTTTAAACTCATTTCTCCCCTTCCCTCCCCCCCAAATTGATGACATTTGTGTGTTCTCCCTGAGCCAGCCTGAAAAAATGAAATTTACTGTTTGAAGCTGTTATACCAATAAAAACTAGCAGGATCTTATTAAAGGGGACAAGATAAAGATGCCACATTTATTATGATAACAATTTGATTTGACCAATAACTAATATCTTAATCCTTATACACACACATTATACCTAATACCTATACACACACACCTAGAGACAGACACAGAACATGCAACACAGAACACTGAACACAGACTTTGTCATGACACTATAACCATGGTATTTTATAACTCTTCAGCTGGTACCAGCTCTCCTGATGTTCTGGTTCAGAGCCTGAAAGATAGAAGCTTGGAAACAAATTAGCACAGTGCTTCCACCATGGCAGAACGCTTAGTCTCTGCCACAGTGTATTTGGTACTTGGGGCTGCACAAATGCTAATTAAGTGGTGCATTTTTTGTGAGTGTAAATCCTCCCTTTCTCTCAGTAAAAGGGCGTTAACACTCCATCTAGAAAAAAATTCTGTTTTAAATCTCCAGCCATTTTGCCATGGCCTGGAGATCTGAGGCAGAAGCAGGCACTGTTGTTAACTGTTTCAATGGCATTTTGGCCCTGGGACCCCAATCTCCAGAGGGGTCCCAAAGGTCTGCCCCCTTCTGCGGTCTCAAATGTTTTTTCTCCTGATGTTACGGCTGCTGTAAGATTTGAGAGTGCTGTTTTAACTCTCTGTACCCAACCTGTTTTTCAGTTTCTCTATCTGTTGCTTGCCTGGGCCCTATTCTGCTTTTTTCCAATAAACAGTTCCTTTCCATGGGCACAAGCCTTGCTCCACTACCAATTTAGCAAGGAGGGTGGGCTTTCCAGCTAGCCCCGACCCTTCCTGGTCCCGTTCCTTAAACATGTTCTTCAAAATTGTGAAATTACAACAATATTACTTACAAAAAACAAACAAACAAACAAACATAAACCACACTACACTGCCCAAACTCCTATATCCTTCAGAGTTTGGTTTAACAGTACAAGATCTGTATCTTATGTTTTGAACCCACT